GTTGGAGTAACCACTTTGTTAAGCTTACGATAATCCACCATCATTCTCCAAGATCCACCTGTCTTCTACACAGCCAAATGGGAGAGTTGAACAGGGATGTGATGGGAGTCACCACCCCTACATCTTTCAAGTCCTTGATGGTGGCACTGATCTCTGCAGTTTTTCTAGGGATGCGATATTATTTTTGATTTATGACTTTTCTAGGTAGAGGCAGTTCTAATGGCTTCCATTTGGCCTTTCCCACCATAACAGCCTTCACTTTACCAGTCAGGGAGCCAATGTGGGGGTTCTGCCAGCTGCTAAGTATGTCTGTGTCAATTATGCTTTCTGGCACTGGGGAAATGAGCATGGGATGAGTCCAAGGACCCACACTCTAAGTTGGATCTGAGCTAAAACTCAATTACCTGACCTCCATAAGCCCCTACCTTAACTGGAGGACTCAAAATAACATTTTGAGTCCTCCAGAATCAATGTCAGCTCAGAGCTAGTGACCAGTAGTCCCTGAAAGTTCTGATTATTTCCCTTTCCCCTATGCACAGTTACCCTAGTAAATGCTGGAGGTCTTCTTGGGGAAAGATTGAAGAAAGATTAACAGCATAAACTGTTGGTAGTGTAGTGGGGTCCTTCCTCAAAGGGACCCAGCCTTTCCTTCATTCAAGGGGTTCTGGGTCTGTAAACTGGCTCAAGTCTGGAAATTGGTTGAGGCTCCATGATTCTGTTTTTATAATTCAAATTAGTCTTTTGTCCACTCAACCTGGAATTTTTCTGCTTATATAAATTAAGTAAGAATGCAGTGGGCTTCCTATCAATTTAACTTCTAGAAACACCATGATTAATTAGCCAATGCCAGAGCTCTACTCTGATTGCTGCTTTGCCTCTGCTGTCCATTGCAGTCAGACTATTCTGATTGCTGCTTTGCCTCTGCTGTCCATTGCAGTAACTATGCCCACCTTGGCTTTGATGGTTGAGTGCTACTGCTTGGCCCCTGCCACCTTGGGATCCAATTATTCCCATTGCATTTAAATTTTATAGTTGAGTGACTGTGGTTCCCACTGTAAGATCTGGCATACAGAGAAGAGCAATCACAGAGCTCTTCAAGGATGCAGGTGCTGCCCTCACAAATCTATTTCACAAAGTATTGGTCAAGGGTATGTCTTCTGCACCCTCCCAGCTGGAATAAATAGGTCTAAAGTGACTAATCCACTCTAGCATCCTGATCTCCCTTAGCCTTAGCCTGTTCCTCTACATTAAACCAAGAGAAATCAGGCATTTCCAGCTTGCTCACAGTGGGCCATCTTTTAATCTGTATTTCAGCTAACCAAGCAAATAAACTATTAGAACCTTTTTTAACTCCCCAAGCTGCAACATTAAATGGAGAATTCCTGCTTAGTGGGCCTAAATCAATAAATTAAGCCTGTTCCAACTTTATGTTTCTTCCACTATTATCCTACACCCTTACTATTCATTATCATGCCTGCACTCCAGATTTCTGCTTAAATAAATTAGAAACTCAAGCAGTTCTTTTGGAGTGTAGTGCACTTCCATGCGGGTTACACTTTGAACCTCACCTCTAGGGGTCTGCCAGGACTTAGCCTAATTATAGGTCTAGAAGCGATCAAGGGTGTTGAGGGTGAGTCCTGAGGAAAATCAGCATTGTCTTGCCTGGCATATTCCCCAAGGGAGGCCATCACTGTTACCTCAGGCAGTACAGGGTTAATTTCCTCAGCAAATGTGGAAAGGCTGATGGCAGCATGGGTTGTAGATTGGGGAGGGGATGTTGCCACCACTTGGAGTGGGGAGGCTGTTTCCTCCACCCAAAAAGTCTCATCAGAATTTAGGAGCTCAGTGCCTCCAGCTTCATCAGGGTCCTCCCACATGTCCCCATTTTAAGTTGCATGGTCCCATTCTTTTCTAATCAATGTCTTCACTTTAATAGTAGATACCTGGTGAGGCTGTGCATGCACCTTTTGTTGCAGGTCAACCACTCACAGGATAAGAGCTTGTGTCTGATTTTCCACAATTTCTTTTTTTTTTTTTTTTTTTTTTTTTGTCTACAGGAGATAAAACTCTCAGGGCAATCTTAGAAGATTTGAGGTCAGCATGTGCTTCTAGAGCCAGGAGATAGAATCCCCGAATTCATTTTCTTTTATCACATTGTCTAATGAACTTAGGAGCAACCAACCAACTTCATTACATTCTTTAGTTCCTCACATATGGTCAAAGGTATTATGTGCAGAATTACTAAACTCCTTGCATCTTTTGAGCAGTGAATCACGAGTATCAAATGCATTTATTTTGCATAATTCTCTAAACAGTTCACACCAAGAACTATCAGTGTTCTCCATACTATTAGAAGTAGAGTCCTTAGCATTTTGGGGTCTAATCATATTAAGCAGGCAACCCCAGAAACCCCAAAGACAATTAAAAATTCCATCCTTAAAATTCTGTTACTCTAGAACCACTCCCAGTACCAAAATCTGTATTAGCATTCTCTAGAGGGCCAAACTAATACGATAGATATATAGACAAAAGGGAGTTTATTAAGGAGTATTGACTCACATGATCAAAAGGTGAGGTTCCTCAGTAGGCCATCTGCAAGCTGAGGAGCAAGGAAGCCAGTCCTATTGCCAAAACCTCAAAAGTAGGGAAGCTGACAGTGCAGTAGAAGGCCTGAGAGCCCCTGGAAAACCACTGTTGTAGGTCCAAGAGTCCAAAAGCTGAAGAACTTTGAGTCTGATGTTCGCAGGCAGGAAGCATCCAGCACAGGAGAAAGATGTAGGCTGGGAGACTAAGCCAGTTTAGTCTTTCATATTCTTCTGCCTGCTTTATTCTGGCTATACTGGCAGCTGATTAGGTGGTGGCCACCCAGATTGAGGGTGGATCTGCCTCTGCTGGTCCACTGACTCAATTGTTAATTTTCTTTGGCAACACCCTCACAGATACACCCAGGTATAATACTTTGCATCCTTCAGTCCAATCACATTGATACCTTGTTTTATTTCACCATAATTTGAGAAGATAACTGATATGATTTTGACTTTTTAATATTTGTTTAGACTTGTTTGTGGCCTGATATGTGATCTTTCATGTGCCAATGAGAAGAATGTGTATTCTGTACTTGATCTTAGCCAAAAGGCAGAGCAATGATGAGAATATGTATTCATTAGTTGTTGGAGGAAATGTTCTGTAAATGTCTGTTCGGTCTATTTGATATATAGTGCAGTTTAAGTTTAATGTTTCTTTGTTGATTTTCTGTCTAGATGATATCCAGTTCTGATAGTGGGATGTTGAAGTTTCTAACTATTATTGTATTGGGGACTCTTTCTCTCTTTAGCTCTAATAATAATTTCTGTTTAGAACTGGGTTATCTAGGGTTAGTTTTTATATATTTATAATTGTTATATCCTCTCTCTGGATTGATGTCTATATCATTATATACTAATCTTTTTGTCTCCTTTCTAAAATTTAAAGTCTATTTGTCTGTTGTAAGTATAGCTATTTCTGAACTTTTAGTTTCCATTTGTGTGCATAATCTTTTTCGATTCATTCGCTGTCAGTCTATGTGTGTCTTTACAGGTAAAATGAATTTCTTGTAGGCATCACCTAGTTGCTTCTTGGTTTTTTGTTATCAATTCAGTCTGTCTATGTCTTTTAATTCAGGAATTTAAACCACTTACATTCAAGATTGTTATTGATAGATAAGAATTTGTTCTTGTTAATTTGGTGTCTTCTAATTGTTTTGTGTATTTTTTCTATGTTGTTTCTTAGCTTTGTAAGTGGTGGCTTTTTATATTCTTCTTTTCATTTGTGTGTCCCTCTTCCAGTATGTTTTTGATATGGTTTGGATGTTTGTCCCGTCCTACCATTGAAACTACCGTTTAATTGAACACTTTAAATGTGTAAATTATATAGTATGATATACATTCCTAATCACTACTTTCTGATATAAATTTCCCATTAATAACTTTCAGGTATTTTAACATTTATTCATGAATTTAACTATTTCTCAAAAAATAAAAAGACATCCATCTATTATGTCTAGATAACAACTGGCTTTAGTTTCCAGTGTTTACAGGTTTATAGCAGGCACATGTGCTGCTGGAACTAGGTTTCACCGACAAAACTTTAGTCCCAGTAGTTGCCTTTAGTTCATCAATCGTAATCACCCTTTCTAACATAAATTCCTCCTTAATAACTTTCAGGTATTTTCCCTGTTATTAAACATGGTTAGACTACCAAATCCAACAAAAAAAGTCAAATTATGTAAAAACTCAAATGGAAAAGTACCCAATTTTACTTCTTGTATTTCTGCAAATTTAATCATATCCTAAGCTACGAGGTCCACATGGTAAGGGGACCTAAGGGCGCATGTTTTCCTCAATCTAAAAGATATCTTATTATTTTCCATCCCTGATGCTTACTTAGTTTAAAGTTAACCTAAAAATCGCATTAAAATATTTCTGGATGAGTCAAAGTATTTCTGCACTATAATAATTTCCTGTGATTATGAAGATCATTGTTTTCAAGTTGCTAGGTGAAAAAAAAAGTTATGTTTCATCTTACCAGGTATATCCCTATGGTATGAATGTGATTCAATGTAAACTTTAAAGTCATGTTATTATCATAAATTCTGTAGGATATTTTAATTTTGCATTAGAGATAGCATTGTATGGGGAAAGCACTGTTAAAGTATTGTGAGGCATCAGTTTGTGCAACAACTTTGTTATCACCTCGATATGTGGTCTTAGTCAAATCACTATACATCTCTATGCCTCAATACACTAAGGCTTATATGATTGCTAACAGACCTTCCACTCCTAATGTTTAGTGATTTGGCAATTCAGACATTTCGCTATAACTTTTATTCATTAATAACAAAGGCTGATTAATACACACACACACACACACTCTCTCTCTCTCTCTCTCTCTCACACACACCCCTCACACTCTTATGTAAGGATTACCTTGCCAAGTATTTTAAAATCTATTTATTTCTATAGAGACTGATATAGAAAGCTTGAGAAGTGCTTTGGGAAGACGCTTATTAAATGATGAATTCAAGACACAGTCAAAGAGTTTCCCTGGTAAGAAAATATTTTAAGTCTAATATTCCTCATTTATTTTTCTCCTTCAAAGTTTAAGTGTGTATCTTTAATAGCAATAGTACCCACTTGTTATTATGACATGGGCACAGGTTCTCATGAATACCCTCCCATATTTGGTTGTACTCTAGAACATATTTACTAGAAATGTAAAGCTAGCTAGATATTATTACTTTTACACTCATCCATTTAGAAAGTAATCCACAAAATAATATAGTATAGTGAGCTTAGAATATACTTGGGACAAGTATGTTCAAAGTTATTTTAGTCCCTTTCTATTTACAGTTTAGATAGAAAGTTACTTTAAAGTTGCAAAAGCAGAAAGGCTATCTGATGAGTGCAATAAGTAAGGGAAAAAGACAGTTATTTTAATCTTATTAATTCCCTCTGTACTTTAAAATGTTAGGCATAGTAATCTTTCAACTATGGCAGAATCCTTTAGTTGTGTAATATAGTTCAGATATTATACTACTGCCTTTGGTACAAGAGTAGCAGTGTCAGGCAAAACACCCTTTGATCTCTGGTGTGATACAAAGGAAGGCAGACAGGTTAATAGAGAAATAAGCAAAAGACATACTCAAAGGGGACCCTCTAAAACCACTGTCTTCCAGAGGTGATTGTTGCATGCCCAAGGCTGTTTTATTGGAGGAACATTAGAGGCTTCACAGTGCAGGATGTATTGAGCCATTCTTGGGTTGCTGTAAAGGAATACCACTGGGTTCTTTATAAAGAAAAGAGGCTGTACAAGCATAGTGCCAGCATCTACTTGGCTTCGGGGGAGGCCTCAGGGCACTTTTACTCATGGCAGAAAGTAAAGCAGAACAGGCACATTGCATGACAAGAGCAGGAGCAGGAGAAAAAAAGGGGAAGGTGCTGCATACTTTTGAACAACTGGATCTCACAAGGACTCATATACTATTGTGAGAACAGCACCATTCCATGGAGAAGAAGGATCTGCCCTCGTGACACAAACACCTCCCACAGGGTCCCACTTCCAACAATGGGGATTACATTTCAACATGAGACTTACACAAGAAAAACATGCAAACCATATCACAGGGGAAATAGGCTTCGGTAAAATAATCAAGCCAGATCACTGAACAAATAAATAAGCAAACGATAATAACATACCCCAGGAAGAAGAGGAGAAGAATCAAAATTAAGAGTTGCTACATTATGTGTCTAAAATGCCCAGTTTTCAGCATAAAAATGTGAGTTATTCTAATAAGGAAGAAAGTATGACCCATACACAGAAGAAAAGCAGGCAAAAAAAAACAAAAACAAAAACAAAAAACATAAAAAAAAACAAAAAACAAAACAGCTTATGAGAATCCTAGCTGTTAGATTTAGCAGACAATGACTACAAAGCAGTCAGTATAAATATATTGAAAGAACTAAAGGAAACCATTCTCTAACAAGAAAAGGAAGGTATTATGACAATGTTGCATCAAATAGAAAATATCTACAAAGAGATATAAAATATTTTACAAAGAGCCACATGGAAATTACAGTGTTAAAAAGTACAAAAACTGGAAGTAAAATTTACTAGAGGGGTTCAAGTACATTTCAACTGTCCAAAGAAAGAATTTAAAAACTTAAAGTATTAGGAACACTAGAAAGAAAAAAGCAGCAAAAATATGGATGAAAACTTTCTGAAAAATATTTAATTACAAATGAGTCTACACATCCAAGCTCAATTAATTCTAAGTAGAATAAACACAAGGGAATCTATAATCACATTCATAGTAATAATGTTGAAAGATAAAGAGAAAAGCTTAAAAGCAGCAAGAGAAAACTAATACATGATGTAAAGAGAACCCCACTAAAATTAAAAACTGACTACTTATCATTAGGAACTATTAGGGCCAGAAGGCATTGGGACAGCACATTCAAAGAGCTAAATGAAGAACTGTTAACCAAAAATCTTATATCCAGCAAAACTATTTATTAAACATGAAGGTGACGTGAAGATATTTCTAAATAGGCTTTTTTAAATGAGAAAATTTATTCCTGTCAGAACTGCTTTCCAAGAAATACAGAGTTCTTCGGGTTGAAAACCATTGACCTCTGACACTAACTTGAACCCATAAAATGAACATGGGTTAAAGGAATTCTATAACTCTGAAAGACCGCATAAATGCTTCCTTCACTTCTTTCTACTCTTAATTTTAACTCTTTATTGATATAAAAAGCAATTGTATAAAAAATATTTACAGAATTTTATTGCTGGGACTTTAAAATATGGACGTGTAGTATATTCTAGAATGTTAGCACACAGGCGATGGTTGACAGAAGTGATGTATTGGAGTTTAAAAAAAAAAAAAAAAAGACAAGAAAGGGGGCTCCAAGATGGCTGTCTTAAAGATATCTGGCACTCTTTCAATACATACAAAAAAACAAATTTGAGAATTGATAATCATATTTCAAATAGATCATCTAATCAGGAACACTAGAATTCAGCAGAGAATTAACAGGAAACATCTGAGGCAGAGAAGGAAAGGGAAAGGAGGCAGCTGACCTAACTAGGATTGATAAAGTCCAGAGAGGCTCCCCAGTGTGGGAAAAGGGTAAGTGAGAAGTCCCCAGAAGTCCACATTCCCACCATAGATTGCTGCAATCCTAGCCATGGGAGAACCACCCTCACAGGCCCTGACCAGTGGCATTGCTCTAAAGAGAGAGCTCATGCTGAGTCACACACACATGGTGAGAACCAAGCAGATGCGGCATAGTGCCTTTTTTCCTCTGCCTCCTGGGTTCAAGTGATTCTTCTGCCTTAGCCTCCCAGGTAGCTGGGACTACAGGCATGCACCACCACGCCCGGCTAATTTTTGTATTTTTAGTAGTGATGGGCTTTTTCCATGTTGGCCAGGCTGGTATGGCCCAACATCCCTACCTTTCCACTCCTAGAGCCCCACTGACATCCCCCTGCATCTATGCAGTGGGCTGCAGGAGTGCAGTCCTAGTTGGGTCCAACAGTGTGGTAGGATCCCTAGCACTCAAGTGTTCAAAATGCTGGAGAATGGGTGGTACAGCACACTGGAGAGGCTGCCCCTGGGACAAACAGAGTTGAAGCATGCAGTACCCAAAACCCAGAATGCCTGAGTCCATTGCCATTGCTGCAACCCTGCCCCCATAAGCAGGAGGGCTACTGTGCGCTTGCACATGCCCTGAGAACAAGCTCTCATCATCTGTCACCACCACCAGAGGCTGAAGCGTGTGCTCACCAGAGCTTGAGAGCCACTCTCCTGGGGCCACAGCCACTGAGAGCAACTCAATCCTACCCAGTGGCAAGACTGCCACACAGTTGCATGCACCCTGAGGACAGGCTCTCCCTGCCAACTGCCATTGCTGCTAATGCCACCCAGGCACACCATTTGGGGTCCCGAGGATTTCCCCACCCTGCTTGCCACAGCATGTGCCCATGCATACCACTGGGGGATCTGAGAACCAGCCCTCTCAGCCTGGAACCAGTGCGCAAAAATGCCAACCAGGGACCTGGGGATTACCTTGCCCCATCAGTTGCCTTGGGCATGCGTGGACATCACCGGGGACCTCACAATAGGCCAAGAAACCTGCCACCAGCACCAAAGCATGACACCCAAAGGCCAGGGGCTCATCCTGCCCCATCCACCACCACAGGCATCTGTGCAGTCCTCCTGGGTCCTGGAGGATGAACTCAGCTAGCCAGTTGCAGCCACTACCAACACCAGTGCATGCCACTTGGGAGCCTGTGGGTTGTTTCACCACTGCGACTTTTATTGCCCACATCATGTACACTGTCTAGGGGCTCAAGGACACACCTACCTGCTGGCACCATGGCCAGCACTCAAGCAAGCCACCTAGAGGCCCAAGGATTAGCCTGCCTGGACTCACTAATCCTGATGCTCACATATATCCCCTAGGGGCCCACAGATAAGCATGCTCAGCCATTGCTGTCACTAATGAGGCCAAGGACTGACTCAAAGTCTCTGTCCCCAGTGAAGCCTCATAGCAGCATCCACCAGCAACTACAGCCTAAGCCGTTGAGGAAATGACGGACATCACTGACACTGTTTATAGCTGAAAAAAATTATACAGAGGCTATATACTACTGCATACACCCGGAATCAAAGCTAAAATGCCCAACCCAGGGTAGGCATGGTGACTCATGCCTATACCCCAGCACTTTGGGAGGTGAAGGTGGCAGGATCACTTGAGATCAGACATTTGAGGCCAGCCTTGGTTAAAGCCCAGTGAGACACTGTCTCCACCAAAAAAAAAAAAAATTTTTTTTAATTTAAAAAGTACCCTATCCAACCAACATCATAGATAGCATTGTCAGGAAAATGTTTTGCTCTATGAAAGCCAATCCACAAAATTGAGAGAAGTGACTGTTACACGAGATGACAGACATAAGGACATAAGAAACATGAAAAAGCAAGGAAATGTGACACCTCAAAAAGAACACAATAATTCTTCAGCAACAGATTTCAGTGAAAAAGAAATTATTGAAATGCCTGAAACAGAATTGAAAATAATGATATTAAGAAACTCAGTGAGGTAGAAGAGAACACAGATAACCAATAGAAAGAAATCAGAAAAATAGTTTTGAGATGAATGAGAAATGTGTTAAAGAGATAGATATCATTAAGAAAAGAACCAAACAGAAATCCCGTAAGTCAATTCAATTAATAAAATAAAAAATACATTCAATGGGAGAAAATTTTTGCAATCTACCTATCTGACCAAGGGGTAATATCCAGAATCTACAAAGAACTTAAACAAATTTACAAGGAAAAATCAAACAACCCCATCAAAAAGCAGGCAAAGGATATGAACAGACATTTTTTGAAAGAAGATATTTATGCAGCCAACAGACACATGAAAAATGCTCATCATCACTGATCACCACAGAAATGCAAAGCAAAACCACAATGAGATACCATCTCACACCAGTTAGAAAGGCGATCACTAAAAAGTCAGGAAACAACAGATCCTAGAGA